ATATGTGCTCGTTTGAAAACCTTGATCGTATAACCCGTCTTTCGGCAAAATGGATCAAAATTCTCCTCGCCTTTTTGAACCGCATCTCAATAAATTCAATTGCGTAAAGAATACAGCAAATTCTCGTGTAACAGTTATGTACTCTATACTCAGAATGTGGGCTGTTCACGGACCGCTATACCTGAAAGTACTCTAATACTTAAAGGACATTGAAGTGTTTATTTCATTAAAAAATTATTTTCAGAGATCATTCTATGTGTGCTATCATATTTACTCAGAGATTTGCATGGACATCCTCTCTGTGCACATAAAACGGGAGAATACACTAAAACAACGTTTTTTAAGGTTTTTTGGAATTTCCTATTTTCTAAAAAACTTGGTAGTTTTAAACAGAGTAACATTGCATTTAGTATTACTCTTGTACTTTTAATTCTTTTACAGTTGTTAGTTGAAAATGCAGATATTCGGTTTATGTATTTGTGTCGGTTTGCGAGTTATTAGCAGTCATCCATAAGTTGCGACACCTTTCCTGTGTTAGGTTGCCTGCTGAACTTATCATCTATTCAGTTTCAACGCTAGCTGAACGTAGCTGATCATGGTTTCTCGCATTCATTCAGTGTTTTCTCCAGCCTTGCACTTGGCATAGGTATAAACGTGCCGGCAAATTTGGTAGTTTGGTCTTGGACCTGCCAAAACTTAGATTTTTCGATCCTGGTATTAGAATCACGCATTCTTACTTGATAGCTAAGTTGGCACGACAAAGTAATATGAACCCCCCAGTTATGCAGGTGGCCTTGTGTTTACTTTCAGGAAGGGTACCTATTTCCGTGTCCAAGCCCTAACCCAGGCACTAGTCCGGAACTGAAACTTAACCTCGACCCTAACCCCAATCTCTCTGGAACTTAGCGCAAGGCCCTGAATAGGCGGGGGTGGCAGCCCGCGCCTCCTTGCTATCCACAGCTCTGTCCTGCTGCCCTTCTGTCCGCCTCTTACTCCCCGTTGGTTCCCTGCTGAGACCGCGAGGCTTGTAACAACCCTCACAAGAGCATGGAGCCAATCAACGCTATGCCCTCCCTGAGTGGCTGGCGGAAGTTAACTGGGACAGAATGAAAGGCGAATGTAACGTTCCTTGAGCTGAACAGGGTTGTTTGAATGCTGTGACACTTTTGGCGCGGAACTGGGATGGCGATTGTGTAACTGCGTTCTGGTGAAGATAGTCGGCGTCCCTTCCACTAGCTGCCGCCGACAGCCTCCCCACAACGCACCGTCGTTCTCGTCGCTATCTCTTATTCAACGTCGGCTCCCCCCTCGGCCTTTCCCTGAAGTTGCCCACAGCGCTGCATCCCCACCGGTTGTTTAGCTGGTATGCCAGGGTCGCCTCTCCATCCAGACCGGTTATCTCACTGCTGTTTCTCATTCTAGATGTACACTAACAATTATTATACGTAATTCCGGTGCCCATCTAGTTCCATAATACTTTAGCCAATGCTTGACGTGCGAATGAGTATCACGAGATGCTAACAGGTCTGTTAAGATAGATCTCCGCCAAGACTTCTTCCCTGCGTTTGGTTACTTTGTTGTGTGCTATCCTTGACGTCCCCGGCCGCAACACGCACACACGCGCTGGGAGCAAAGACTCTCAACGGAGGACACAGAGAAAACAACTGGCTTGGAGAAACCGCTCGCAGCGGCTGCTTGCAGAGCCTTGTGTACGCACTTCCTTAGCAGTAAAGGTTGTCCAACCCAATCCGTCTTTCCTGACTTCTGATTTGAGAAACTTTGTTGTCTTTTCGACCATTGCGGACTTTCGAGTCAGACTCAAATCACAACATTCTTACCACTTCAACGTCCCTTGCAGTTTGATGACCGGCAAGGCGAACCGAGTTCATCT